CATCTGGCCCTCCATCAACCGTCATGATTACCACCGGTATTACTAGTCCATGGTCAGTTTTAGCTAATGGTCGAAACTCTTCAAGTTCGAGAAGCGTCTCGAAATCCTGAGCATGAGTATTAGCAGTAGATGAACTATGCTTTCCACTTCGAATAGCGATGTATGTTGGTCCAGAATATCCAACGGCTTGCGGTAGTCCTAGCATATTGGAAGTGATTGTGATACCAGTATAAACAGATGGTATTAATTTATGATGCTCAGCGATTACCCAATCGTGATCAGGCAATTTGATTCTATATTACATGTGCATTAGAAGAGGTGCTTGCTTATTTGCCGCAGTTACGCCAATAGGGACTCGAGCTTTATCATCTTGAGATATGAAAAATACTTGATCTGGTCCAAGTATGGATGCTATGTTCTCTAAATAATGGATTGATGTTTCAGCGAACTTGCTATCTAAGTGGATCTTGTGGTGATCAGTTTGAGCCCGAATGAGCTTAACAGGACTGTCGATACATGTCTTCGTCACTCTGCAGAATTTGATTTTCTGGGAATCAAACGAAGATATGTCCCACTGCGACTAATGTCAAATCCTATTTTACGTAATTCTTGTGTGAGTTCATCAAGAGTTTTTACGCTGCGAATTGATTCCGTTCGTCATCTATCATCTGCTGCTGCACTCCCAAATAAAGCTATATCCGCGATTGTTTTCAATAGTGAATGTTGATTGCTTTCAAGATTAGGACGTCCCACTGAATCCCTCAAAGATAGTCTTTTTTTATTTCTGGATTTTCATGACAAATATCTTCTAACTTTCTTTTCATACCATCCCTGTGTTTCTTCTGGGCAACTGCATTTTGAACCTTCCTGTTTAAAGACTGTTTTGCTGTTTTTATTTCCTCGCGCAACTTAATGATCTGTTTATCACCTTCAGGCTTGGTATAGTATCTTTGGCAGAATACAAAGCATTCGGATTTTTTTCGAGTAGAGCAATCTTATTTTTCATAGCTTCGTGAGAAGGTTTTGCTCTCTGTTTATTTGTATTTTCATTAATTTCGCATTGCTGTTGTGATTCATTACCGGGTTTTATTTTATCTTCTTCCTCTTTTTTAATATTTGAAGCTGACTGTATAATTTGTGTTTTTTCTGCAGGTTTACAGGTTGCCTAAAAATAAAAACTTTCTATGGCTTCTGTTAAAGATTCTCTTATTAAGCTACTTAAATACAAAGTATGGCAATATATATGGTAAATACAAAACCCTATGGCGTTAAATCTAATATGCTTAAAGGAGCAATTCGTTCCGGTCACAAAATACAGGGTGTTAGATTTATGTATATATGTATAAAACTAACATCCTGTACTTTGTGACCAATTGACGGAATCAATCATAAGAAATAAATCTATAATATAATGAATATTACCTCTATACTTTGAGATAGGCCATAATATTTTCTAATCAGTAAAGAGAAACTTTTTCGCGATTTCTAATATTTCTAGTACTCATAGGTACCTAAAATGATTTCGTCACTCACCTTAGAAAAAAAATTTAGTAGATTGGATTTATTCTTAGTCGCCGCTTGCAATTCTTCTTCGATTCTCTTAGATACAATAATATCTAGTTCCTTGTCGGATTTTGCTTGTAATTTGTAATTTCGCCACACTTCGTTAACTAACTTTTGTACATTTTGTACTTTCGTACTTGTATGAGATTTTTTAAAACTTTCAAACAATTGTTGGTATAACTTGGATTTGTCTATGTGAAACGGCATCCTATTTAAACATTAAACTTTGGCTAATGGAATCAATGGTAACACAAATGTTAACTTGCTTTACGATGCTTACAATACGTCTACTCGCTATAGTATCCAAACGGAATAATACACTCATAGAGGAAATTTAGACAAATGAACACCGCGCGGTAATTCCCATACTCGGTTCTAAAGCGAGTAGGGGAATTACCGCGCGCTGTTCACTAAACGTATGCATTATTTGCGGGAATCCCCGAAAATGCGTTTCGTTTTCAAGCAAAGAATGTGAGGGTTGCCATTCGTGTAAAAAAGTAAATAACTACCGGTGACGTAATCATCATCTAGACTCCCCTGCCCCCCATGTCATCCAAAATAAGCAAAGCAAAGACCCCCCCGCCCCCCATTCTGCTCACGTAATACTTGAACGACTCCGTATTGAGATATTTAGAAAATACTAAAATTTTGCCAAATAGTTTTATTTCTTCTCTTTTCATTTTAATAAATATTAGAGAAATAATGGAGCTTTTGGCTCTTGTTGGTTCGTTTTGTTCCTCTCCATCTTCGTCTCCTCTGGTGACACCCGTACCAGGACGTATGGGCAGGTGTGTTTACTTTTCTAGTTGCATGTGCGTTCATTTCGGGCCTGATGTAGCCAACAAGCAGAAATAAGTATTGCTCTTACTTTCTGTTTAAATTTACTTTCCTCCTTTTCTCTGATTTTGCCGATTATTTTTCTGTTTGTTTTATATGCATTGACAGAAAAAGTTATCTAGTTCAAACCAAAAAAAAAACCTCACTGTTCATGATATCAGTTACTGAAATCAAACAAACTAATTATATAAGCTTAACATTATTAAATTACAATCTGAATCGGTGCACCTCAAAGATAAATAGTTCAACCAATAAAATATTTTTCTGGCTTCTTAATTATTGACGAGGAAAATACAGGTTCAAAAGGACCATCTACTAACAATTCGTAAACGTTATAGACGCAGATTAATTGACTTGTTTTTGGTACGGACATTTTTAGAGTGTTTCGCGCTCCGTTAAGCAACAGAAACGTATCTGTGTCGATACGAGATGACAGATATTAACTATTTGTAGGAGAACTAGTACAGACACGCAGAAGATTGGTCGCTTAATCGTGCAGCAGTTTCGGTTTTATTTTAATTGGTTTGTACGTAACATCCCGAAAGTGACCACTTGACACATTTGTTGGATATTTTCAGCTTTCTAGATCTTTCCGTGCACTCTGAGACGCGGAGTGAAAGTATGTACAAGGAGTTTGAAAAAATGGTGCCAAGCACATTGATTCTAAATTCTCAAAAAACAATTGAAAGATAATATACTAAGTGACATATAAATCCGAACACCCAGTTGGTGGATGTATTTATCTTACTGTAAATAACAAGTGAAAAAATGTTCAGCCTTATCAGTTGGACATTCCGGTTTTTATACTGCTTTTTTTTTAATTCACTAACGCTCTAAAAATGAATATTTCAGCCGCAGTAAAGAATCAACGTTGGCGGATTTTGGTTCTTGACATCCTTTACGATCGGTTACGATGCCTAGAGTACGGAGACCTGTACGATTTCGTCAACTTAGAGAGTTTGATAGGGGCCGTATAGCGGGACTTCGGGAAGCTGGACTTTCTTTTCGGGCAATTGCAGTTAGAGTGCAGAGAAGTGTAGACACTGTGGTTAGGTGTTGTCAGGCATGGCTTCGAGAAGGCCGTACGCAAAGAGCAAGGGGCACTGGACGCCGCCGTAGAACAACAGACCGTGAAGATCGCCGCCTAAGATTATTGGCCTTAAGGGACCGTTTCTCCACTACCAGGTCCATTGCAAGAACACGGAAGACCTATTGGCATGCGAAGTGTTTACCGACGAATGAGAAGTTTTGGCTTGTTTTCATACCGGCCACACTGGGTCCTCCCTTTAACTCGAGAACACCGACGTAATCGCCTTGAGTGGTGCAGACAACGGTCACTCTGGGATCAGGAATGGAACAGTATTGTCAGTATTTAGGCATGCACGATGGTCGTGCCAGGGTTAGAAGGCGACGTGGTGAAAGGAGGAATCCACAATTTTTTGTTGAAAGACATGTTCTTCACACTGTTGGAGTTATGGTTTGGGGTGCTATAGCTTATGGTTCCAGGTCACCTTTAATCTTCATCAGGGGTAACATGAACGCGCAGCGTTATATCCACGAAGTTCTAGAACCCCATCTTTTACCCTATCTTGACACCCTGGCAGATCCGACTTTCCAACAAGATAATGCCCGACCACATGTTGCAATAGTCACAATAGACTTCTTTCAACATAATGATATCACATTGTTACCATGGCCACCAAGATCTCCCGACTTATCCCCAATTGAGCACGTGTGGGATATGATGGGTAGGAGATTGCTCAGTTTGCAACGTCCTCCTCAGACTCTAGAAGCACTTCGAGAGGAGTTGGTGGTTGCCTGGAATGAGATACCACAGGAGGACATTGACCATGCCTAGGCGCGTTGGAGAATGCGTAGCACATCAGGCTGCATCCACACATTATTAAAGGTCAAAGGGCTTTAAAGCAGTGCAATCATTTTGAAATTTTTATCATTTACTTAGTATGCTTCATTAAGTACTTGTACTTGTACAAAATTTTATTAAAATAAAACCATTTAAACTGGGTGTTCGGATTTATATGTCACTTAGTATATTATACAGTTGCAATGAGGTGGGAGCTTAAATCGACTGATGTTGTGTTTGAGGATAGTTAGGCTACTCTTAGCGACACTTATATACGAAATAAACCCATTTATTATTATTTTTACACAGAGATTTCTCCGTACAGTAGCGCTTAAAACTTAATATTCACAGCGTCTGTATGGTATCACTGCATAGTGTTTCCTATGCTGACCGCGTTAAATGACAGGAAGAGGCGACGTTTCCAGATACAGTACCGGTAGGCCAGGGAAAGAATGTATAGGGATTAATTGCGTGGACCTATTTGACTGATTTTTTCTCAGAGGATTTAGTTCGTACTGATCATAATACTTTATGGACTGGTAACGGCGTTGTGTGGGAAGTTTACGAGGAAGGAGGTATTGGGATGCCCAAATCGGCATGATCGGTGCAGGGCAGGTGCACGACCGGTGGGAATCAGTGTTTATTTTGGGGAGCGTGCTGACACCGCGCGAAGTTCGTAATAAAAGTAAAAAATGCAAAGAAGAAGCGCCGAACGCGTCGATAATCATGTGCCGTTATGTATGGCGAGAAGCTGAGCAGCTGGGGCATGGAGGTATGAATATACGTACGCACACCTGCAAAATATTTGGCGCTCGCTGATGAACGATGATTTAATTATTTGCTGATGTGAAAACTCTTAATCAAATCACGGCATTTTTTACGGGTTTGATCGATTATCTTTTTATTTATTTTTTATCCTGGTCAATTTATTCCGCTTCTGTTTTGTCTCCACAATGGCCTTGTAGTATTTTCATTGGTTTTTCTTTTATTGTTACTTTTTGTTTATACCCAAAATCGTAAGCTATTGGAGATACTTTCAAAGGTATGTAGATATGAAAAACAATATAGTTACCTTGTATTTAATGTTGTCATCTTCGATGACCTCTGTTTCTCTATTACACCATTATTAGGTACAACCAACAACATGTATTTTATATATACAGTCTTGCATAGTTTTAGAGAACGTCTCCTGTTAAATGCCCAAAAAAGTGATAGCGCTAAAAGCTTATATACGGGAATTTGAGATCCTTTGGAGTGGTGTTATCGCTGAAGCATTTGAAATAGATGTACCATATTTATTTTACATGCAAAGTAATCGGAATACGTGGATGCCTCACTATAGTACATAGTGATATTATGTTTTTTTGATGATATTATTAAAATACTATGGATATTGCAGACCAATATCATTAGATTTATGCTTTTTTTTCATAATAGATATAATAAGTTGCAAACATACGTTTCACATGTATATAAAAAAACTCACAAAACGTCGTTACGTATATCATAGACTGGGTACCAAATAACCGAACAATATTCTAAAACAGATCTGACAGAAGCATTAAAAAGTAAAATTAATGTATTACTGTCACTGAAGTGTCTACTGTTTCTGATAACAAATCCAAGATTTTCATGTGCTAATGTTCCTCTTGGTTGCAGGTCCAGCACCGGTTCAAGAATTCCTGGCAGTGAAACAAATTCTCTCGATGGTTGCGATAGAGAGAAATCACAACTGCGACCACATCAGGTAAGATGGTTATTTGACATAAATCAATGACAATTTTTTGTCAAGTCAAATAGTTTTGCTGTTCTGAGTTGTGACCATCTGGTGTCTACAGATGTTTTTAAGAATCAGGTACCTACATGATTCAATCTGCGATAAACGATTAAACAATTAAAATTCTTCTTCCACTGCACGGTGCATGAAATAAAGAAATTATCGTTTGGTGTGGAATGTTAAAAAACATACTTCAGTTTGGAATTCTAAAACAACGCATATCTATTGCGGCATTCCGTCGGACAAAACATTTTAAGAGTACTTTTACATCCATTAAAAAACCATCAATATGATGTTAACAGCTAACAATCTAAAGATAGGTACAGACCACTTGATGAACGTTTAACACCGAAGTTCTGAACGGCCAAGGTCAATGTCAATTAGTGTCTTGCTTCTCACGGAAACAGCTTTATCCTTCACACTATAATTATCCGCACCAATCTAATTTATCTTGAAAAAAAGCATGCTAGTTCTATTTATGGCTGTCATTATGCATTATGGGGATTATACATCAATATTCAGTTAGTGTCGATATATCTGATGATATTATTTTATGGACGGTATTCGGTGAGTTATTCCGAAGTACATAGTAATTTATTGTCATTACTTAAAGATGCATGAACCATTAGATTATTGATTAATCATTTGAGTACCAATAATGGTAGACAAGAGCTGATGCTATAATATATATATATATACTGTTATCATTGTAATTGCAGCTCCTGATGATGATGGCAAAGTCCATTGAAAGCTAGAGAGAATTAAAAAAAGTATAAAGAGTCCTCTTTGCTTAAATTTTGTCGAAGTACCCAACAAAAGGCGGAAGCTTTAATTTTTCACCTAACTGGTTTAGACGACAATGACCACGTCTCAAGTTATATATATATATATATAGTATTCATAGTTAATTGCCTTAACTGTTAGGAGAAAATATCCTTCAATTTCTTTGGGTGGAAGGGAAAGTATTGCAAAAGTACACTCTTATAACTTAAACGCTCAAGCTTTCGAAGAACTATGTCATCATCGTCTGGAGCCGGAAACAATTATTAACAATAGCAACAAATAGCAATTAGGAGAAAAATATTTACTTACTAAGTCGGCGAGACTGTTGCTGGAATTGTTTTTAAAACAACAGTGAAGCGAACACATAGTCGACGAATAAAAAACTGGACTGATGAGGTTCGATTAGGACGGAATTATTTTATCATTAAATGGCAAATCATTTTGTAAGATTTTTTTAAAAATTAATTAATAATTGATCCATATGTCCTCCGTGCGATCTATAAAGTTGCCAGGAATTATGAACAGCCATATCAATACGTATACAGTGGCTGATCAATGAAAAGTACCACTTTTTACCCCGGATGGAAATGCGATACAGACCAATATTTTGATCACATCGATCAACGCCGCCCATATTTGCGTTGTATACATTTACAAGATGAGGCTGTTCAACCTAAAATGAAAAGCATTTTTGAAAACATTGATTTTCTTGCAGATTCTGTTTCTTACCGGAATACTTTTTTATCCTTTTGAGAGTATCGCTTTACAAAGCGAATTGGTTGCAATCCTGCGGCATTTGAACAGAGTGTTACTAAATTATTGTCATGCCATTTTACTGCAATTATGTTTTTATCGGAAATTTTGTTGTAATCGTAACTACCTCTTTTTTCCCTTTTCATAATTTGAGAATCTCTGAATTGGACCCCTTGTAAACGATTTTCTCTAGTAGTACCAGTCGCAAAGAATTTTTTTTTCTGTCAATTTTACCATGAGAGGGAGAGAAGTGAAAAAATTGTCAAAAACTAAATGAAATTTTCCATTTGGCCATTTTCTCCTCAGTGCATCAGAATACTCTAATACCACACCAGCATCAACCCCCAAATCTGCATAATTCTTACTAATGTTGGTTGACGACCCTTGGTAAGGTTCAACCCAGTAAACGTAGCCTAGTCTTGATGCGCCAACCCATAATTTATAGCCGTATCGTATAGGTTTTCCTTGAATGAACTGTTTGCATGAATGTCTCCCAAAATAAGGAACCATTGCCTCATCTACACTATGCATTTCTGTCAAAATTCCATGTTTTTTTATTTTTAATTTATACATCTTAAAGCGAAAATTTTAAAAATAAATGTCAAATGACAGTAAAGTAAGTAAACAAACTTTTGTTTCCAAAGGCAACTTGATATTATTTTTTGTGTGTTGAAATTAAAGCCAATTCATTTTGTGCCAAATTCCATATTGTTGGCGCAGCTATAGATTGTGATATGTCTCTGATTCCATTAATAAAAATGACCCTCTCCTCCTCAAACGCGGAATGGGTGAAATTCGAGTCAACCTCCCCTCCCCTTGAACAACCTCACGTAATCAATCAACGCCCTGCAGTGCCATCTATGATTTCTTCCAGGTACACCCAGCGTTCGACCACCACGCTCTCCTGTGCTACGACGACAAACCCCCGTCGGAAACGACTGCCGTGCCCCCGGTTGCGGTATCGATGCCGCCTCCGCCGAACATTTGCGTGGAGGCGGGCAGGATCCAGTTCGTGAGGCGCGAGGAAGAGGGCGCTACGGTCGCGGAGGCGGCAGCCGGCAGTTTACAAGCGGTGCCTCGGGTTACCGTCACCAGAGGGCTGCAGACGGATGATTTTCAGATGTTCGGTGATGCGGTGAATGGCGGGGAGGAGGAGGAGGAGGAAGTTGGCCAGGTACAGGTAGGTGGTTGAATTAGGAATGTTTTACCGCAAATCACTACTCAAGAAAATTAAGGAAAAAAAATCGTCAGCGAACTCTTCGAGAACATTGTAAATAAACACGACGACGTACGCGAACAATAACTAACCACTGTTACCGTTTGCGATCGATTGCCGGTTCGATAAGAGTGATGAATGACTGACGCGCTGTTGTCATTGTGTTTTAAATATTTAGAGGCCCTATTGACTGGCCACAGAGATCTCCGGATGTAAGTCCTTTAGATCACTTTCTTTGGGAGCATTTGAAGAGTAAAGTATTTATAGTATGACTCCAGATTCCATGCAAGATTTCGTCAGCGGTTTACCGCTGAATGTAGACAAAAGACAAATAAATCAAGTCATGCTTGAAAATGTGAGGAATAGATTAGAACAAAATATTTATTATTGCATGAAGGTAAATGGACACCACTTTCAGCACCTATCACACACATTGACCTACCTCTTTATACCAAATTAATTTTTACTTTAATTTTAACTGTAAGTTGTTTTTTGTTTTTTTAATACTCGGCGACTTGTTTTTAATTTTAAAGTAAAGTCTTGTTACTATGCAAACTAAATTGATTGTTATTTTTATGTGATTATCATATTTTATTATAAACTCAAATAGATACACAACGATTAAAATATGTATAAACTTTATTATTATTACTAAAATGTTCAAGGGAAATCTAGAAATTAAAAAAAAATGGACGAAGAATTTAAAAATAATTTTACCGATTTCAAATATTGAAAACGATTATGAAGCACTTTCTCATCTCAAGTTTTCAAATAAAAGCGTGTTACAGTTTCACATCAGGATGAAAAAAGGGCGTATAACGTTTTTATTTGAAATCCTGAAATAAACGAGCATCAACATTGTTTAAATATTTCCAATCCGAGAAAAATATTCATAAATTTTTTGTTCATTTTACTGACAGATTGTTCTAAAAAATCTATTTTTTCGTTTTATTTCTTGCGCTTTAAATGAATCTAAGTAACTGCTAGTAGAGCACTGTATTGTTTCTGAGATTGAAATTATGGTCACTGTCATTTTCAAACGGATTGCAAATTTCAATCAAAACATTGGTATGAGTTTGTTGATCACTCCATAACATGATTGTAGCATATAATAATCTCTATACGAGACGCTACAGACACACCCCTAAGCAAATATCGGAATATTCACCCCATGTTTTCCATATAGAAAGAACAATTGAGTTTCTTAATAAAATTATTTCGCCTTCAGGCACACCCAAATTGGCCCTGCCTTGTTAACATTCCCGACTCTAATTAGGAAGGGCAAAAAGCACAGCTTTCTTTTCAAGGGGCGAAAAATTACGTTACGATTTTACGCAACGATTAACATGGCAATTGAAAATACGAATTCAGAGGATAAAATTGGCATCGAGTAGGTCGACTCTGCACTTCTGTCATCAGATCATTAAAAGGTAGCTACGAACTTGTTTAACAAAATAATTAAATGGATCAAGCCAGCCAAACTGGTTCATACAATTAAGGTTTGCATAATCTGACAACCCCAAACCTTGCTAAAAATCATGACTTCGTTTGATCACCCTGTATAAGTGATCAATTATGAGTAATATACCGGTCGAACCTTGCACGTGACCTCAAAGAGTTGGTTAAGAACCTCTCAAATATCGCAACTCGATATCTCTTTTTGTTCCGAATTTGGATAAAATTTTCCATACTCCATTATATCGAATATTAGAAACCTCATAACTTTACCTCGCTTTTCCAACGTTCATTTGCTTATAATACTGCTAGTCTCTATAATAGTATTCATCTTGACCATAAAATCATTAATTTGTCTTGTTTCCGTAAGCATGTTAGGTTGTATTTACAAGGCTTCACGTTATAATTTTTCTTCTCTTAGTTCAATCTTTGTTTGTTAATAATGCAAAAGTAAGTTAGTTTATGAGCACTGCAGCTGTGACTTTTTAGGCGTTTATATGAATAGGTTATTTTTCTTGACTGGTTGGAATACTGATGTGAAATTGAAACAGAAACATTTCATTGTTTTGAATCTATTTTACCATCTTTACTTTGTATTCGTATGACTAAGTGTAAGAGCTAAATTTCTACATAATGAATCCCACTTATATAGCTTTATTAATAAATACGATATTATTATTAGTTCTCTATGCAAACATACAATTCACCCGAGTTGATTGATCTTTTAAAACTGCCAACAATAAATCGCTCTCCATACAGTATCGGCGGAAAACTGAACCGTCCGATAAATCTGCGTTGGTCATTATAGCAGGTCATAAACGGTATCACTTGGGCAACGCACAAACTTTTGGTAACAACCATTTGAGTAAATATAGTGTTATTAGCCTGCACCGCACACGGCCAACGGCCAGTGGCCGGCGCTAACAATATCTACGATAACAGCCACATAAATTCACAGAAATATTGTGGTCGAAAATTGTAACGCTGTTACCAAAATTAATCAACAATGCGGCCTGGACGGATATTATGGGAGAATGTCGATATTTTTGACTGTGTATTGGATGGAAATGGAAAATGAGTGGTAAGGTCACATTCTCCTGTTGATCGGGATATGGACGTTTTATTGGAAAATTCCGCAGGTAGGTAAATCTCGGTTACAACTTATGTATTTAGTGTGATTTCATTAATATTGGTAATCCCTGGCAGATAAAATATCCTTTTGCCATAGGAGAGATCAATCGACGAAAGGAAGCAATAGAAATGATGTTTTCTAGCCAGTATCGTTCAAGTCGACTAACGATATCAAGCCCGATGTTGACAGATAGCCTGCCATGGGTTTGTTTTCAAAACTTTGCTTCAATTTACATTCTACTCAGATTTGTCGCATAGCGTTTCCACAACGCTGTACTCCTTTTCAAAAAATCGCAGTCCTCTACGTTGTCCGGATGAAATCCATCGTTTCCCCTCATTTCAGAATTACTCAAAGTGAAATATTTCGTCATCCGAAATAATGGTTTTTCCTTTGACAAAATGTACCTGTCTCTGTTGAGAGTATTTACAGCACTCAAGTCTAATTTGATATTTCAGACCTATTCCTCCTCCCCGCCTCCTCCTCGCCCCTCCTCCACCTCCTCCTCCTCGTCCTCCTCCTCCTCCACCACCACCACCACCACCACCACCACCACCACCACCTCCTCCTCCTCCTCCTCCTCCTCCTCCTCCTCCTCCTCCTCCTCCTCCTCCTCCTCCTCCGCCTCCTCCGCCTCCCCCGCCTCCTCCTACTCCTCCTACTCCTCCTCCTCCTCCTCCTCCTCCTCCTCCTCCTCCTCCTCCTCCTCCTCCTCCTCCTCCTCCTCCTCCTCCTCCTCCTCCTCTTCCTCCACCACCACCACCACCACCGCCACCTCCTCTTCCTCTACTTTTAGATCTCTATTGACGAGCCAGTCTTCTTGTTGACATTCCAGCCTGTGTAGTAAAATGGAGTATTCTATAGATTTCAACTTTCGGTACCCACCCGACCAATTTATAGATTCTTTTTCTTATTTCTAATTTATACAACATCTTAAAGCGAAAACTTAAAAATAAATAAGTGAACAAACGTTTGTTTCCGATGGCAACTTGATATTATTTTGTGTTTGTTAAAATTAAAGTCAATGAATTTTGTGCCAAGAGTTTTAGGACAAACGTTATTCGGACCAGCCGTTTAGTATAGTAATAAGTTTGAATAGTGTACGAGTTTTATGAGATCCAATGCGTCTATTTCTCCAAGCATAAGTCTAATAAGAACTCAAAGAATAGAAGCAGCAAGGGGAAGTGATGTATATGGAAGGCCATTGTCGCGAGCAGTGAGAATCTCATCATTGCGAAAAGCGAAAAGGAGGGAGATTTATTAAGGAAAAGCGGCATGGAGGCAATTTTGAATGGAACCGAGACGATGGTGCCGATATGACTCCATTCATGCGAAGAATTCAGCTGGAAAAACTGATAAGGCCCGAACGCAGTGCTGCGCTGTGTCGCTGGCTGGATGGGAAATTCGCCAGTTCTGATTGACTTTCTGTTACTTTATTGATTTCTTGTAGCTTTCTTCTATTCAGGGTAAATGAACTAACGGGCTCTACAATTTTTATATCAATTTATGTTATTTAAGCTGAAGTACTTCCCTAATGTGTGAGTCTAACGACTTTGCATTCCCAAACTGTACTCACACAACCCTCATCGCCCATTAGTAGGGACTTTTCTCGTCCATTACCCAAATATAAATTAAAAAGTCATTTCGACTGCAGCAACATGCCCCGTTTTCTGCATCCGACTGTTTCCCTCTTTTTCTTTCTCTCTCCCGTTGGAGTCCATTAGAAGCATTTCGTCTATTTGCGACTATAAACGCCGGTCCACGCATAAATATTCAATTTGCGTTCCATTAAAAAGGCCTTAGAAGCTGCAAAGTGGAAGGGGTATGGACAGTGCATAGTTGCCATATACAAATATAAAGAACACACAACGCAATAATTGACATTTGAAAAAGAAAACACGATGATCATTCAAGTACGATCCAAGATCCTAAACGTTTTTGGATTTTTGTTGATCCATCTCCTCGTAATGATTTTATTGAATGCAGGAATCCTACTAGTCAGGAAAATGAGATTATTGCTGCATCTAAAAAACTCAAGAATAGAGTAACGACCGGCCCAGACAACATTCTCTCGTTGCTAGTCAAAGATTGTATTTGTTAATCCGATATTAACAAATATACAATCTGACTATAGAGACCAACGCATTCTCTGATAGTTAGAAACTTTCTAGAGCGACACCTATTTTCAAATCAGGGGATAATACTGATATTAGCGGTGGCAATATTGTCGAATATCTCCAAGTAGCCGGAGATAATATTGCGTAATAGTTCATAGATCTCTGTACCCTTTTCAGCATGGTATTCTTACTAAGAGATCCAGAGTAACTAATTTAACAATCTTCACACAGGTCAGGTCAGTATGCAACCTTCAACCGACGGTTACGGTCACGCGTGTACAGGTAATCGCGTAGACGAGAATCCCTCAACAAGCACTAGAGACGTGGCTAGAGAAGTGCAAGTATCAAAAACTAAAGTGTGGCAAACGCTGCGTGAAGAGGGGTTGTATCCGTTTCACGTCCAACGTGTACAAGCCCTTCAACCTGACAATTTTCCAGCAAGAGTGCGGTTTTGTGAGTGGTTGTTGCATCAACATGACAATAATCCGGACTTTTTGAAGTGCATGTTGGTGACAGACGAATCTACGTTCACGCGTAATGGGGTGAATAACTTTCGCAACACTCATGTTTGGTCATTTTCAACAAACATTTTCGGTGAATGTTTGGGCTGGCATGGTGAACGGTATGCTCATTGGACCATTTATTCTCCCAAATCGATTGGACGGGATGCAATACCTAGACTTTTTACGCAACATTTTGCCTTCCTTGTTAGAAGATGTGCTATTAAGTGTAAGATAATCAATGTGGTTTCTGCGTCTGCTCGGTAGCGCATCAGCTGATTTCATTTTCTGTTGGAGCGGTATGATTTCGGGCAGAGACATACTTAGCCCTTCTCGTCAACTGGAAAGTGAGTACTTTTTCCTTTATTTTTTTTACTTGGTCACCCTCGTTTCACTACACATTACCTTTGTTATTTCAAGGTTAGTTGTTTCTGAAAACGAAAACCCCAACTTTGCGGATACCCTGTATAACTAAATCGGGAGTGCCTCAGGGTTCAAATCTTGGTCCTTTATTGTCTACCTTATTTATAGATGATGTTGTGCATTATCTACGTTGTAAGAAGCTCCTCTTTGCGGATTATTTAAAATTATTCACGATTATTGAGTCTGAGACTGATGGTATTGCACTGCAGCGTGATATTGATTCGCTAGTGGTTTTGTGTGACGAGAATTTTTTTTTGTTTCTCAATGCGTCTAAGTGTAGTGTAGTCAGCTTTTCCAGGAAAACTTCTGATTGTAAATTTAAATATTAAATTGCGGATGCTTACATAAATCGGTATAACTCAATTAAGGATTTGGGTGTAGTTTTTGACCATAAACTTAATTTTTCACTCCACATAGCTAAAATTCTGCATATATTAGATCGAAATTGGAATATGCATCGTTAATTTGGATCCAGAAAAAAGCTCTGGAAAGACCGAGCTGATCCTATCACTAGGAGAAGGAAGCTTGATGAGTTTGTCTTGCCGACCGTAAAAAATCGAGGAATTATCTTGGACTGTAGACTGAGATGAAAGAGCATGTTGAGCTCAAAACCCAAAGTGGCTCTATACGTCGATAGTACGTCCATCTCTTTTGTATAGCTTCTTGGTTTGGTGGCCTTGCATTGGAACCGAGACAACTGAGGGCAAACTCAATAAAATTCGTCGATTCATTCATGAGTACAATGGAAGCTATGTTGGATCTCGACCTGGTCAGGAAAATCAATTTTTGCGAAAGGTAGGATTGAAGGTTCGATTGAAGGAAATGGCAACAGTGCGATTAAAAGGTACTCAACGAAACGAGCCGTATGCAACGGCAGCAACCACAGCAACAGAGCGCACGCGATATTTTAGTAGCGTCATTAGGAAGTGTAGCAAATGGACCTCGAAGCAACAACCTCCGATTCTGACGATACGGCGCGCGTGTCCAGACTACGAGCACGATCCAGAAACACGTCCAGAGATTCACACGGTAATTGGCTGGAAGGAAGAATGAGGGGATAATGTTACGTCATTAAAAGAATCTTCGATATTTACTTCTTCCTCCGAGAATAGATAAGAACGAGATACAATAACGTATAAATTATTATTATAAGTTTGCTCTGGGTTGCCAACGGGGCTTTACTTCCCAAAATTGGTTTCAAAAATGCGAAATGAGCCTAATGATGTGGCAGAAAATGATAATTTTATTTTAAGGACAAAGAAATCCATGTTTTAGCGTATGTAGAGATTCATATAAATGCTTTAACTAGAGAAATTGCTCCTCAGTGTAAGCATAAATACCGGTCATACAAGTATCAATGACGCCAGCGTCTTTACGAGGCTGATTATGAACGAATGCTTGAATGTTGCAACTGGTTTTTACAAAAATCCCAAGAAAACACTTTTCCTTATAAAATTCTTTATACAGTCGAAAGTCGCTTTAAAAATTCAAGCGTTTTCAACAGAACTTAGATCATAGATTTCAGTTAGTAGTAAAGATATTAGGTTTGTACTTAGCCGTCTCTCATGGCATGCTTGCTTTCTAAACTCAACAAAAACTATTCCCATACTCATATGACTTATGGGGTGTTATTGTGGGGTCACTCAGCCAGTTTTTCAGAAGTGTTTGCTGCACATAGGAAATCCATCAAGGGCGGAACAGTTTATTTATCTGGGTGTATTAACACTACCTTGTGCGTACATGCTAGGGTGCCTGTTTCATGTTAGGAAAAACGTTGATAACTATGACAGGAACCACAGATTCCACAGCTATGATACTAGAATGATATGTCCACACTCTATAGTACGATCGACAGATCCAGAGATGGGCATAATTATTTCGGTATCCAGCGCTTTAGTGCTCTCCCTGTGTCAGACTTTTGAACGTAGAATCGTTCAAGACCACACTGTCATCATACCTACAGTATATTCAGATAAGAGATAGACCGGATGTAAACAAAAGGTTCGGGTGCTTTTCACGCTAACGCCGCCGTCTCGACGCAAAACAGGAGCCCTCATTGGTCAATTCGCAATTAAATGCCTATGCCGAGCGGCAGAGCAGTCGTATCAAGGCAGAGTCACATTCAGGTTCAGACGTGTTACGTATGTCGTGTGCATCATTGCAATTTGATATTTCTTTGGACGTTTTCGTTTGTTATCTTATTAAGTTGTTGAGTTTGTCGTTGTTATTGTTATACCTTGTTATTGATTGTTATTGTTATCAACTGCTTGCGCAAAATGCCCAGTAGTACAGATAGTGCCGATGAAGTTGTAAACTCCTGTAGTCCACCTAGGAAACGATCTAAAAAAAGACACCTGAGTGCAGAAATGAAAGAGGTCATTTTGAATATATATAAGATCGAGCGCGAGGAGAACGAGGCATCAACCATCAAAGAAATTGTTGTGAAGGTTTCTCACAAAGTTGGGGTGTGTCGCGCATCAGTGTTTAATGTGTTAAGACAATACAAAAAAAATCACACCTTTTCTGAGCCAATGTAAACATCGCAAAAGTATTGTTAAATCATTGGATGAAGCTGATAAGCATGCGATTAGGAGGAAAGTGCATGAATTCTTCTTTAGGAATGAAATACCTACTATAGATAAAGTACTGCAGGAGGTAAATGGAGATACAACGTTGCCAAATTTCAAACGATCAACTTTCCATGCGTTTCTGAAGCATTTAAATTTCAAATGGAAAAAACGGGGTCGTAATAGCTTACTACTGGATAGAGAAGAAATTGTGCTATGGAGGAGGGATTATTTAACAAAAATTGGGAAATATAGAAATTAAAACAGGAAGATTTATTACCTTGATGAAACGTGGGTAAACGCAGGACACACTACAAGTAAAGTATGGGTTGATGATTCTGTAACTTCATCCAAGAGGGCCTTTCTAGATGGACTGTCCACCGGATTAAAAAATCCAGCAGGTAAATACGAGTAATAGACAACAATCGGATGTTTTTCAAACCTTGGGAACAAGGTTCTAAACATTAATTCCAGGGGGCAGATAAAACATATTACAAGTAACAAAACTTTTATAACTTTCGATAAAATGCGTGGATGTTTGATTGTCATTTTCATTTGTTAGAACTTTTTTAAGCCATGTTTTTATGTGTTTTCGATATTTCAATAATTTTTTAATATAATCTTAAAATATGTCGAATATTATAAACTTAAAAAAAGTTACTAAGTTTTATATTGTGTACCGTTCCTAATATTTCTAATCATTTTAATTCATACTTTAAGCTTTATAAAGTTATAATTTGTTAATATTAATATTTGCGCGTATTTCAGGTTCCTGATCATTCATTTTTTAAAGGTTTATAACTTTAAATTAAATTGTGAAGCGCTGAGTAATCATACGACGTTCAATATTCTTTCTTTCAATATGACTAAATAATCCCAATTATAGCAATCTGATACTCATGTCTCAATGTTTTTTCGCTGAATGTGATGAAAACATTTGAAAAAGGTTCGCTTATTGAAATAAATCTACACCAGTTAGTACTTCGATTTCCAGGTAAAGGGAAAAGGCTCATTATCTGCCATATTGGCAGTGAGGATGGATTTGTTGTTGACGGTCTGTGGTGCTTTGAGTCTAAGAAAACTGGAGATTACCACGAGGAAATGAATGGCAAATCGTTTGAACAGTGGTTTTCAAAAATTTTACCGAACTTAGAGGAAAACGCAGTAATTGTGTTGGATAATGCGCCTTATCATTCTCGAAGAATGGAGAAGGTCCCAACAACGGCTTCAAGGAAAGTTGATGTTCAAAATTGGCTCCGCTCGAAAAATATCAACTTTGAAGAAGCAATGCTGAAAGTACAATTATTAAGAATTGCCAAGGATCACAAGGCGGAATATCAACAATACGCCATTGACGAAATGGCAGCAAGTCAAAATAAAACTGTGCTCCGTTTACCTCCATACCATTGCGAGCTCAATCCCATTGAGCTCATATGGGCAGAGGTTAAAAATTATATAGCTAAGCACAATACAACTTTTAAATTTTGTGACCTCAAAGGACTTTTCAAAGAAGCACTAGAATTAATAACAGCGCAAAAATGGGAAAACTGTATTAAGCACGTGAAAGACAAAGTTGAAAAGAGAATGTGGGAACTGGACAATATTTTAGAGGAACAAGTCGAGCCATTCATTATTGACGTTGGTGCTTCAGGCAGTAGCGATGATGAAAGCTCATCAAGCTCATCTTTCCAATAAAAGATGTCGTTCATCAAATTCGGTAAGTTATAAGTAATTATAAAGCTACTGTATTTTTTAATTAATTATTGACTTTTTTGAACCCATTTTGGCAAAACCTATTCAAGAATCTACTTTCTGACAATGTTCAACCATGCACATTTTTTACGTTTTGAACGTTTTAATTTGGTTACATATTTACCTAGAAATCAAAAAATATACTAATCAATATTCTAAAAGCAATTTTAAGAGATATACGATTATTTTTAATTTAGGCTAATTTAAACGCCATTTTGAGATTATATTGACTGTATTTCACCAAACATCAGGCGGCATCCGAAGCTGGAAATCGAAGCGAAAATTTTGAAACCCTTATGTATATTTACATCATTATATATTTCTTACCCCACCCCCACATGATCCTATATCCATCACCAATCGTATACACATCGAATTGTGCTAATTTACTACAAAGTTACGCAAAGCAGCATCTACTATCTAAAATATGTACTGCGTGACTCTTAATACGTCCCTGCCGAATGTTACAGCGTTCGATGATCACGTGGTCTTGTTTATGTCCGGTCTATCTCTTATCTGAATATACTGTATACTATTTACACCCCCTCCCCGATGCGACCATTCTTCACGGCAGTCACAATACCCTTGGCCCTCAGGTTCTGTCTTCGTAGCTACTCTAGTAAGAAGTTCCAACGTTACAAACATGACTTTATTGAAATGATAACAAAATCAGTAGCCTCTGCAGATTTTAGGAACATTTTACTACATAACAGTGCTTGGCATATCGTTCAAAGAATCAAGTTACTCATTTGTCTAGATCCTAGTATTCTTCATCTTGAAATACCTTTCTTTGAAATTGCCAGGAAACGAAGCTGGTCGACCTACAGACTGAAATCCATACACATTACCAAATAAGCAACTATCTGGCGTATATGCATATGGAGGAACGAATGGCTCATCCTCATAGTCGCCCATATCGTGTCTGCGGCGTGGAAAAATAAGGTCACGAAACCAGGGACGATCATACCCAGGGTTTCTAGAAGGAACTTTGACGAATTTTCCAACCTTGTGAAACTGCAACATGCTTCCATGGAAAAATTCCTTAAATACCATCTCTGGGTGTTTGAAATCGAAACCGTACATTCCGTACGGGCAAAAGCCTTGCTCGGATGCGTATTTCCTTGGAGGATAGCCGCCGTTTCTCATATCGTGGATGTCTCTTGTGGCCTTATCGGATAGCACCTCGTAAGCCTTGGAGATGTTTCGGAAATTTCGGTTGGCTTCTTCCAGTCGGTCCGGGTTCTTATCAGGGTGCCACTTGAGAGCTAGTTGCTTGTAAGCCTTTTTGATGTCTTCAAGACTGGCGGACACGGGCACCTGCAGCACTTCGTAGTAGTTTGCCATTACGGAATGATTTGAATATCGTTAGCATTGATAACACTTAATTTTGATTAATTTGACTTCTCTTGCCATTTGCAAAAATGACAGATGAAAGCGTAATTTGTTAGGTTGTGGACAAAAGTGTAGGAAAGGCGATGTATCACAGACTACACGATTTTGCTGAACAATCTCATATCCTGAATGTGTGCCAACGCATTTCAAAAAATCACCCTACTATAAATGCATCAAATTATAAAATAAATTACCAGTTCATTAAAATTCAGCAAGTCAGTAATTAGAAGTTAGTAGTTAGAAAGTTATTAGCATCAAATGCATCTTATAACATGGGCGAGTATGTGGAATGTGCAACTTTGGGTACGTAAAGATGGAACTGAACATTTATATGAATTGTTATATTGGTATTTATATTGATGTTTAATTATATTTTTAAACATTGTATTTATATTATATAGTTTATTTATAGTAAGTGACATATAAATCCGAACACCCAGTTTAAATGGTTTTATTTTAATAAAAGGTGCTGAATGTATTTATCTTACTGTAAATAACAAGTGAAGAAATTTTCAGCCTTATCAGTTGGACATTCCGGTTTTTATACTGCTTTTTTTTAATTCACTAACGCTCTAAAAATGAATATTTACGGTTACGATGCTTAGAGTACGGAGACCTGTACGATTTCGTCAACTTAGTGAGTTTGATAGGGGCCGTATAGAGGGACTTCGGGAAGCTGGACTTTCTTTTCGGGCAATCGCAGTTAGAGTGCAAAGAAGTGTAGACACTGTGGTTAGGTGTGGTCAGGCATGGCTTCGAGAAGGCCGTACGCAAAGAGCAAGGGGCACTGGACGCCGCCGTAGAACAACAGACCGTGAAGATCGCCGCCTAAGATTATTGGCCTTAAGCGACCGTTTCTCCACTACCAGGTCCATTGCAAATGAATGGTTTGCAGAACACGGAAGACCTATTGGCATGCGAAGTGTTTACCGACGAATGAAAAGTTTTGGCTTGTTTTCATACCGGCCACACTGGGTCCTCCCTTTAACTCGAGAACACCGACGTAATCGTCTTGAGTGGTGCAGACAACGGTCACTCTGGGACCAGGAATGGAACAGTATTGTCTTTAGTGACGAGTCTCGATTTTGTTTAGGCATGCACGATGGTCGTGCCAGGGTTAGAAGGCGACGTGGTGAAAGGAGGAATCCACAGTTTTTTGTTGAAAGACATGTTCATCACACTGTTGGAGTTATGGTTTGGGGTGCTATAGCTTATGGTTCCAGGTCACCTTTAATCTTCATCAGAGGTAACATGAACGCGCAGCGTTATATCCCCATCTTTTACCCTATCTTGACACCCTGGCAGATCCAACTTTCCAACAAGATAATGCCCGACCACATGTTGCAAGAGTCACAATAGACTTCTTTCAACATAATGATGTCACATTGTTACCATGGCCACCAAGATCTCCCGACTTATCCCCAATTGAGCACGTGTGGGATACGATGGGTAGGAGATTGCTCAATTTGCAACGTCCTCCTCAGACTCTAGAAGCACTTCGAGAGGAGTTGGTGGTTGCCTGGAATGAGATACCACAGGAGAACATTGACCACCTGATCAGAAGCATGCCCAGGCGCGTTGGAGAATGCGTAGCACATCAGGGTGCATCCACACATTATTAAAGGTCAAAGGACTTTAAAGCAGTGCAATCATTTCGAAATTTTTATCATTTGCTTATTATGCTTCATTAAGTACTTATACAAAATTTTATTAAAATAAAACCATTTAAACTGGGTGTTCGGATTTATATGTCATTTAGTATACTTTCTTTTTCACCACATGTACTGTTTATTCTGTATCTAAGTGGTTAATGAAGATAAAAATAATGTTAAAAAGGTTAAGATTTTTAAAAGACAAGTTAAACAATTCTTGTTGAATACTTATTTTATTTTCTCGGGATGTTACTATATGTCCTGGGTAGGAAAACAAACTAACGACATCCGTAGTTATAAAAAACTTCATTTAGTAATGACCTTTCTACCAACTGGAAACTGTGCAAATTCTCCAGCTCGCCTTTTGAATGCTTTGAAGTAAAACTTTTCTCTGCCCGTACCTCTTCTAGGACTGCCACTACGATGCTTCCTCCTTTGAGATGCATTAGTATAGAACTCGGACGGGCTTCCTCTAAAAACGATACAGTTGTAGTTACAGCCCATTTATGTGTACCTGCAACCATCTCCCTACTTCTACCGTAGAAATAGATTGATTTGTTTTATACAGTTTGATATGTAAAGGTCCAAGATTCATCGTACCTAAGTGAACCTACCTAGACAGGATTCGTTTCCCCTTTTGAAACGTATAGACTCATTCCAGTCATTGAAACCTCCAACGAAGGTATATGAAGTATGGAGTCAATCTACTTGATACCTTTTTTTTGTGATAGTGTTTTGCCCGGGGCGCAAATTCCAGAGATGCGAAAATTTCGTTGCCGTCAAGTTCCGATTCAGCGTTGAAAAATAGGTAGAAATACCGTGGTAGAGCATGAAATAAAATAGTTTTCACCTCTTGTTATTAGTAGTTTTTGGTTCCAGGGGTAAATGTCAGGGGTGTAAAGATGTTTATCTGTGTAGGGGCCCGAGAGTGAATTTTAGACGTCCAGGAAGTATTATTGTCTTAAACCGTACCTAAAGAATTCCTTGAAGATATCCTCCGGATCTCTGACCGACTGGCGTCGATCGAAACGAGCTTCTGAGCTCGCCCATCTTGGCGTTAGCTGAGATCCAAACAGGTCGTACTGCCGTCTGCTACTTTCGTTTGACAATACTTCGTAAGCTTTGGTAATTTCCATAAAGACCGTATTCGCTCGTTCAAAATTATCTAAATTCTTGTCTGGATGCCATTGTAGGGCCAACTGCTTGTAAGCTTTTCTTATTTCATCGATTGATGCATCGTTCCGTACGTTCAGTACTCCGTAATAATCTTCCATATTGCTGGGATGTACATGGATTGAAAATGGAAAATGAACAAAAAATTTTGATGAACTTCTGTGACAAACCGATGACACATAAGCAGTGAATGAGGTTACTTCTAGATTACATTATTGTCTGTCAGAACAGTAAGTAGGATCTTTGATCTTGATCTTAATGTATCCTAAAAAAGTGCGTCAATTTGTTCGTCTTGGCATTGCTAACTGGTGTTCGAGAATTTTAAATTTATCCTAAAATTAATTTAGAGATTGTTTGTTGAATAAAGATCGTAATTTTGGATGGACGTAAAGTCGCACGATTTTATTTGCGTTCATATGCGATTCCGCTTCCACAGCTTCTTTATAAGCTTGATAGATTGATTGATTGATTGAGATATGCAAATGCCACTCTCCTCCTGCTATGCGGTAGGCACGAAATTCGAATCCACGGCATCAACATTGCCGTTTCTACGATCCTGATTCAGATCTATAGGTTTCTGAAAATCATACTGTCGACCAGACTTTTCCCGTAAAAGTGGTGGGCGACGAGTTGTTATCAGGTTCACAGGAACGCGGTGAGGTATGCAAATGCCACTCTGCTCCTGCTATGCGGTAGGCACGAAATTCGAATCCACGGCATCAACATCTCTTGCCGTTTCTACTATCCTGATTCAGATCTATAGGTTTCTTAAAATCATACTGTCGATCAGACTTTTCTCGTAAAAGTGGCGGTCGACGAGTTTCTACGATCCTGATTCAGATCTATAGGTTTCTGAAAATCATACTGTCGCCAGACTTTTCTCGTAAAAGTGGCGGTCGACGAGTTGCTATCAGGTTCGCAGGAACGCGGTGAGGTATGCAAATCCCACTCTGCTCCTGCTATGCGGTAGGCACGAAATTCGAATCCACGGCATCAACATTGCCGTTTCTACGATCCTGATTCAGATCTATAGGTTTCTGAAAATCATACTGTAGACCAGACTTTTCCCGTAAAAGTGGTGGACGACGAGTTGCTATCAGGTTCACAGGAACGCGGTGAGGTATGCAAATGCCACTGTGCTCCTGCTATGCGGTAGGCACGAAATTCGAATCCACGGTATCAACATCTCTTGCCGTTTCTATGATCCTGATTCAGATCTATAGGTTTCTGAAAATCATACTGTCGACCAGATTTTACTCTTAAAAGTGGTGGTCGACGAGTTGCTATCAGGTTCACAGGAACGCGGTGAGGTATGTAAATGCCACTCTGCTCCTGCTATGAGATAGGCACGAAATTCGAATCCACGGCATGAACATCTCTTGCTTTTTCTACCATCCGGATTCAGATCTATAGGTTTCTGAAAATCATACTGTCGACCAGATTTTACTCTTGAAAGTGGTGGTCGACGAGTTGTTATCAGGTTCACTACAGGAACGCGGTGAGGTATGCAAATGCCACTCTGCTCCTGCTATGAGGTAGGCACGAAATTCGAATCCACGGCATCAACATCTCTTGCGGTTTCTATGATCCTGATACAGATGTACACATTTCTGAAAATCATACTGTCGACCAGATTTTTCTCGTAAAAGTGGTGGACGACGAGTTGTTATCAGGTTCACAGGAACGCGGTGAGGTATGCAAATGCCACTCTGCTCCTGCTATGAGATAGGCACGAAATTCGAATCCACGGCATGAACATCTCTTGCTTTTTCTACCATCCGGATTCAGATCTATAGGTTTCTGAAAATCATACTGTCGACCAGATTTTACTCTTGAAAGTGGTGGACGACGAGTTGCTATCAGGGTCACAGGAACGCGGTGAGGTATGCAAATGCCACTCTGCTCCTGCTATGCGGTAAGCCCGAAATTCGAATCCACGGTATCAACATCTCTTGCGGTTTCTATGATCCTGATACAGATGTACAAGTTTCTGAAAATCATACTGTCGACCAGATTTTTCTCGTAAAAGTGGTGGACGACGAGTTGTTATTAGGTTCACAGGAACGTGGTGAGGTATGCAAATACCACTCTGCTCCTGCTATGCGGTAGGCACGAAATTCGAATCCACGGCATCAACATCTCTTGCGGTTTCTATGATCCTGATACAGATGTACAAGTTTCTGAAAATCATACTGTCGACTAGATTTTTCTCGTAAAAGTGGTGGACGACGAGTTGCTACCAGGGTCACAGGAACGCGGTGAGGTATGCAAATGCCACTCTGCTCCTGCTACGAGATAGGCTCGAAATTCGAATCCACGGCTTCAACATCTCTTGCCGTTTCTATGATCCTGATACAGATCTATAAGTTTCGGAAAATCATACTGTCGACTAGATTTTTCTCGTAAAAGTGGTGGACGACGAGTTGCTATCAGGGTCACAGGAACGCGGTGAGGTATGCAAATGCCACTCTGCTCCTGCTACGAGATAGGCTCGAAATTCGAATCCACGGCTTCAACATCTCTTGCCGTTTCTATGATCCTGATACAGATCTATAAGTTTCGGAAAATCATACTGTCGACTAGATTTTACTCTTAAAAGTGGTGGTCGACGAGTTGCTATCAGGTTCACAGGAACGCGGTGAGGTATGCAAATGCCAATCTGCTCCTGCTTCGAGGTAGGCACGAAATTCGAATCCACGGCATCAACATTTCTTGCCGTTTTTATGATCCTGATTCAGATCTATAAGTTTCTGAAAATCATACTGTCGACCAAATTTTACTCTTAAAAGTGGTGGTCGACGAGTTGCTATCAGGTTCACAGAAACGCAAGGACAAGGCCTCTTGCCCATTCTGCGCTTGTTGATTGATTAAGTCCCAGATAAGGGATTTCAATGTCTCTGTGAAGAGTTTCACCGAAGACATACCATGAGGCGTTGGTTATAATGTGCAAGGTTATGTTCTGCAACAAAAAGCCACACATGCATCAGCGATCCAATAACCATCTTGTATAGCCGAACTTTGTTGATCAAATTTGGTTTGATTAAGGTTTTACATAGCATAGGCTAGAGTTACTAGAACGAAATTCGGTATTTAATGTTTCAGTGTGCCTCTGTCAAATCATCCTTTTATCAGGCATCGGTGCACAGTTTCGGCGACAAATAACGCAATGTGAGATGCAGCATTACTGAAATATTATTTCTGTTCTCCTGAACATTTTTCGACGGATATCTCCTTCGATAAAATGAAATTATAATTCCACCATCAATCCTTTAACGCCTTTTAAAATCGCGCTCACAAAATTCGTTTCGCTTAAGATGCCGGGGATTTTAGGGATATTAACAGTAACAAACATTTCTTTCGGCAGTCGTCAGCTTCGTTTTTGCCGGATTAGGACAGTCGACCAGTTATTTGCGAAAAATTCCCAACCTTCAAGTGAATCTGGTGTAAATATATACTTGTGGTTAGCGAAGAAGTATTGTCCTCCCCATAGAAATTGCGTCGTACGTTTGGCATAGATTAGATCCTCTGAGAAAAAAGTTAGCCACGCACATGTATAAAAAAGGATTTAAATAGATCAAGTCAGTCAAAATACTATTTCCTGCCCTACCGGCATTACCGATCATCTGGCAACGTTGCTATGGCTAAGGTAGCGGGATTATGAGCTATAACTAGCCCCCTCTACAAAATATGTGAAAAAATGAAATTTGTATCCCCCAGCAATCTTCCACTTCCAGATTTCATGTCATTGAAATTGAGCTACGGAGATAAAACGAATTTAAAAATAAACCTCGACAGCTTGTATCTGGTTAGCGGGTGGAATTTTTCTCAGGAATATTTGACTGAATACTATCACTTTGCAGACCTTGTATAAAAAATCGATTTATACGCCTTTCATTTGAAGGACGTTTACCAGAAAAGGATGAGTACTTACTACTCCCTGCTGGTCTTTATTTCCTGTACTAAGGATACTCCTGTCTTCATCATTTTGTAGGGGAACTAAACCAGACTTTATTAATTTTATTTCCGAGGAACGAGTTGGCTGGAAGATGAAGAAAATTGGGGTAGGCAATTCGTGGAGAGGAGACACTTAACAATGATGGGTGCTTATGAAAATAGGATTCAATGAATTTCGTGCAAAATTGTCCTAAAAAGAATTATGTAGAAGGGTGTTACTCAACTCCTGAAGGATCAGGGTGTTCTCTAGGTTGGAATCTTTCTTATAGATCTTGTAAAAATGAATCCAAGTCATAAGATGTTAAACAAACTAGAATAAATAAAACTTAATCCGGTCCTGCAGTGAATAAAAAAAATCAACCAAAAATGGCACATTCATACAGCAATATCGGAGTTTCCATATTATTTCAATTTACGGTATTTCTTCGAAATGCTACCGAGGCTTCGCGAGTAGATGCAGATCGATTCGTGATTTCTTTTTTCTTTAGTTCATGCCTTACAGTTTGTAAGTTGCCAACACAGCTTGTATTCTCCTCTATATCGAAGTGTGATACTATCGTTTCCAGCGGCTATTCTGCTGGACCAAATAGATCCGAACTTCCCGTGTTGTCAAGTGATTTAGAACCGACGAATATAGAGGAAATGAAATGCCATACAAACCCACTAATCTTGAACCGCATTTGGGCCGAACGAAAACGAAACGGCTGAGCGCTCTGCCGACAACGAGATATATCGAAACACAATTACATAATAGGAGCCGATGCGTAATAGAGGATGTATAGATTAAATGCTTTCCCCCATGACGAAATTTATTCATAGTACAGTACTCGGGAAGAATATTTTCTTCAACGTTCAGGTATAAAAGTCGAAAATAATAATAATAAGACAATGTACTTATTGAGGCTTCATGGAATCGTCTACAGAAACATGAACATGGTTGTCGATCTGTAAATCATCGACAAAGAATTGGATATTGCTATATTTAACATCTGTATGTAAATCAGAAGTATACAAAATGGTTAGGAGTGGCCCAAGTACGGTCGCTTGAGGCACTCCGGAGAAAATGAGGTACTGTGAGAAAGACTAGTATTTTGGGAACTCATATGCGATACTTAGCAGTTGTTGCCATAACAGCATGGTTATTGACTTGTAGCACCACACATTTTGGACGAACGTCGAGTCCTATTCGTTTGTTATTCTAGCTTCTATTTAATAGTACCATTAACTAAAAATGTTGCGATGTTGC